ACACGAAAAATGTACATTATTACTGAATCTGTCTGCATGAAAAAGCTTTATATTTTCTTTAGTATTGTAGGTATATGTTATTTCAATAGTTTTGTGACATGTATTACCAAAAGAATCAATATAATAAATAATAATAAATAAATAAATAAATAACGCACACACTCAACATAGGCCCGCACTAGGGAAACCCTGTGTCACGGGTGCCATGGACACACACATAGACAACCACAAATTACACCCAAACTCACGAGAGAAATAAATGTAAGCCATACAAACATTTCTCTCGGCCCGGGAATTGAACCTGGGACCTCTGCGTGGCAGTCCGGCATGGTAACCGTTCGGCCACGGAGGCAGTTAATATGCATGAAAACATTCAATCTGCCTGGCTTAGTCGTTGTGGAATTTTATCAAATATATTTTATAATATTAGTTGGGATTCAGTTGAAACAGAATATAGATAGATATCGTTGGACGCTTGGAAATACGAATATTGAAAACCGAACCATGTTAGACATAATACATAATGCTTTTTACATAGCCTGTACGATTTTAACATAATATGACAAGTACTTTAACAGCAATTGGAGGTGTAACGGTATACACATATTACATAAAAATACATATTAATTTCTATAATTATAAAACACAAGCAAAAACATCTCCATTTGCATTAGATTAGTGCTTTATGGCCATTGCCAATCCGTCTTCCAAATGTAATGATTTCTCTATTAGTTTCTGGTTGGCACATACGAGTAGATACAAAACATTGAATTATTATGTAGTTAAGATTTATTAAAAGATAATTTTAACTTTACAAGATTGATGGCAATCGGTATGATAGGAAACGAAAGACCCGTGTACCCGAGTCAAATAATGGAATAGATTTTTATATGTTATACTACACCTTCGACTCGTTAGACAAGAGGCTGTTGCATGTGGCCACTGCCCACAACGTTAGGTCCGGAATCTGTTGTCTTAACGCCTCACTCTCGACACACTCTATTTTCGTATTATTATAATAAACATCTTCAGTTGTCGCACATGTCTAACAGTTTGGTGAAGGAACTTTTGACATGAGACATCCGAAATTGTACAAGGGAACGTTCCCGAGCGAAGCCTAGTGGAAGAGATGACGCTCTTGGAAGAACAAGGAATAAACAGATAAGGTATTACAAACAGTCTCAAAAGTGTTTTTTATTCGTAAGAACTCAAGTGAGATTCTAATATGTTAAGTTACAAATTGTATTCAAACCGCCCCTGACATTACAGGTAGGTAATCACCTTTATTTGAGGTGAACCACCATGTGAACTCTGTTATTTTAACTGGAAATTAAACCGCACGTAGCTCATCAATCAAAATAATGTTATTAAATACCCATCTGATGAGTGGATAGCAATTTATTTAAAAAATATTGTTATTGTGTTGTTATTAACTAAGGTAGCGATGAAATAACTTATAGGTAATGTACCAGACAATTAAATTCCGACATCGCAAAGTAGCTAATTACTTGTAGAAAACCTCAGATTAACACAATAAAATCTGGAAATACTCCAAAGAACAATACTAACAAGCAAGATCGTTTCCTAAATTATTGATCCAACCAGGAATCGATTTCGGAATCTTTTCATCTATCCCCAAGAGTTTATAATCATTATGCCATGCCATTAAGGTCGTTTCTAAGGGTACGATTTTTAGTGATCAAGACAATGCTCGGTACCAATTTAAAAAAATTGTGAAACCTTTTAATAATATACACTTTTTTATTGCTACCCAAAACATTTTAGTAGCAGTTCGTCAGTCCAGGCACGTACTACCTTACCTATTTCTGCCGCCAAGCTGTAATGTGAGCATTACTGCGTTCCGGTTTTGAAGGGTAAGGGGCTAGTGAAATTAGGTACAAGCACATGGGGCTTGGCAACTTATGTATCAGGGTGAGGGGCACAATGACAATGCCCCTCGACTCTTTGTGATTTAAGAGTCTGAGCGGCACTGCAAAAGCATATGGACAAACAGGCGCACGGCTTGTTCGTCTTGTCACAATATCATAAATAAAATATGTCTGTTACTAATTCAATTATTAGAATAAAAAGGTGTATCTACAAACATCAGCGTTATGTATAAATGTAAGCGTAATTTAGTTTAAATTTATGTAGTACATAGAAAATGAAAGTAGTCGGCAGAATACACAGAAGTCGTACAGAAAAAAAATTACCAACTTCCTCCAGTGCATTCGGTCTTCGGAGGTGACTACTTATCAACCAATGAGAACCTTAACTTGTGCCAATCAACCGAGTACAATGAAAGACCGCCTGGGATTGATATTCAGTCTTTTCGGGCTACTGTTTCCACTAGTTATCTATCAAAAGAAGTTTGACAGATAATTACCGGAAACGATCATTTAAATGGCAACACTGTCAAAAGTTACACAGTAGAAACAGTGATAATTAAATAGGAAAGTAGATAATTTAGTAGAAACTTGAAGGCTGGAGCAAAGCAAATTTTCAAATTTAGAGCAAGCTCTATTTAAGATAGAGTCGACGTGTTTTGGTTGGCCAATCTGGTTTAATTCCCGGTAGAGCAAATTTAGGAAAATAAGACTCATTTCATTCCTCATGTTATTTACGTGGAATTCCTTCTTAGAGACTAGATAATAGGTGCAATTGTCTGGCAGATTTATTATTATTATTTTCAACAGTTGTGTTTACGGCAACACTCATAGCCCCGCACCAGGGTAACATTGTATCGCGGGTGCCATAGGTAGACAACCATAAATTACACCCAAACTCACGAGAGTAATAAATGTAGGCCATGCAAATCTTTCTCCCAATCCGGGAATCAAACCTGTGACCTCTGCCCAAGCGGAGACTGCCAACAGTCTAGAATGGTAACCGTTAGACGAAGGCTGTCAGAAAGTACTTTGAACCTTTTTTTCAACAAAAATATAATTTACAGTCCTTTCTAGAAATATATGGTCCTTTGTGCACGACACCATCCTCTTTAAAGACAACAAGACGAAAAAGAAAACCAAAGACAAAGTATCAAAAATCATACAAAAAGATAGTGCGGTCATACACAAGTTGACTTAATCAACTTTAGTATTTCCTGAAGTGATAGGTACTTCGCAATGAGGTCAACTATTGCACCTCGCTTTTGTGTAGATAGCTGTTTTATGCAATGTCTCTTTGTATGTAATAAAGAATACCATATTACAACATTCGGTAAATCAACAGTAAACAGACTTATTTTTTTTAGCTGCTTTACAAAGAAATACCAACTAATTAACAAGCAAAAGCAACGTACTGAATAAGACATTGACTTTCAAAGAGTACCGCATTCGCACTGTTCCACAGTGTACAGTAATTACAGCAATCTGGACAGCAATTAATTCGCAATTACACTATCTTGATAGACGGTACCTTCGTGTGTGATTGTTTCAGTTCATTTTAAAGATTCTAACGCGTACGTAGATATCCCTTGTTGTTAAAGAGTAAAGATAAGGGGATGCTGATAAGCAATAACGTGTTAATAACACACAAAAACTCGTAAATTGAGACTTTTAATGCCAAATTGCAGCCTGTCATCTCGTCTGCATTTTACAAACATAAAGAAGCTGATTTAAAACCTCCAAATATTAAAAAAATTATAAAAACTTTTGTCATAAATCCATTCTTTAGGCGCCATTTTCTCAAAACTACGATCATATTTGGTTGACACGTTATTACTTAACAGCGTCCAAGTAGATACGAAATACAATTAGTTTATTCGGAAAAAGAAAAAAGATTATAGATTATGAAGTTGTTTAAAAATTTTGTCGTTGTCTTGGTTCCCCATCTGTAAAATCCTTGATTGACACACGCGCATTTTGTATGTGCCACCAACATATACATATTTTCGTTAAGTATTTAATATCGTTGCTAATTTTTGATTTTTTTATTGATGTATTAAATATTCTTTATTGGACATTAATATTTACAGTAACTATGTGATTACAATCACATTTTATGGTACCATTTCCAAGTATGTACCTAACATTTTTTGTATACCAATGTAAAATTATAATTTAATTTGTTATTTTATAATTTAATTTATTAATACAGTAAACATATGTAATATAAGTACAGAAAAAAAAATTAACAGTAAATTAATAATAATTGTCTTAACTTTAATACTCTCATCATGGCATGTTCACCTGTAATTGGTTAAGCATTTTAACTGTAACACCCTGTCAAATGTGTGTAAAATATTGTTGTAACCGAATGTATTAAGCTTTGGTGAATTTAAATAAATAAATAAAAAATACTTACCTATATGTACATAGGTAGATTATTTAATTGGATAGCATGTTTTTGAATTAAGTAATACCCATGTATGTAATAAAAAAAATATGAAACCACAGATTATGAAATATATGAAAAATGTCTGTTTAGGTAATTAGGGATTCAGTTCAATACAAAATTCATTTTAATCCGGTGCAAGATTTTTTAACTTATCATTATATTACTTCTTGATAAGAGTGCGCGCAATTAATATTATGCCTACTTATATTAAAACAACCAAAATTTCAATATAGAATTATACACAGAATGTACTATGTGGAAAATTCTAAACGATCGCTTCATGTTTAATTAGCTGTATCTTTCAATACCGAGGCCGAATGCCGTTTAATCATCTCCTTAAAATACTTCATTAAGTTCGTAATAAATTTCCTAATTGACGTTTTGTATTAATATATGGACATATTTAAAACTTGTCTAATTGATATTAAAAAAAATTTTTTTTTTCTAATTTATTAAATATTTCGTATAATTAAATGTTTTAAAATTCAAATTCTGATCAAATCACTCTAAACACATTCTTTTGTTTTGTTTTATTGCTTATTACATTCCTAAAGTAAGAATTATTGTCTGGAAGCTCTCAATATACTTTTTTAAATAATACTAATTTGCATACATACCTAAATATAAAATAATTTCACAACAAACTAAAATACAAAACCTACCTGTATAGGAAATTCGAAGGGAGAGCTGACCCGTTCTTCCGGGCCCTTTCCAGTTTTCACATCCACTCCCTCCTTCGAAATTCAAATCCAAAGAAAAACACTCAAAAGTTTAAAACAGTCACTTCATTTTATAGAGACAACAGTTCACAATACCGTTCTAAAATTCAAAAGTAACAAAATCACGAATATATTTATAATAACTTTTACGCGGGAAAACTGTTTAGAATAGAAGTAGCGAAATGTGAGAGTTCGTTCGGAAACCGGCAACGTGGAGCGACGTGATCGCGGCAAGGAGGTCGGTTATCAACTGAAGGCGCGGCGAGAGGCTGGGCCGTGAATGTGACTTCGAGACAGGTTTTGTTGATGAGTCGAGCCGGTGCGGATATTGAGGTGCGACAGGAAGCCGTAACTGGAAGTGAAGGACTGCTTCTTCCTCGGAAGTTCCGGATACTGGAGATAGTTTGGGTGTAAACGTACAATTCCTGCGCATTCTTTCGTATTGATACAGGGGAATGTTTTATTGGGTAAGGTGTAGCTCTGTACAGAGTACTGTAAAGTATGTAGTATGTTACTGTCTGCAGTACTTAAAACTCAGTTTGGAATGTTTCGATTATGAAACTGTACTGAAACATTGGAAACCTTTTCAGGGACGAAAACCTGAAATTATTTAAGGCTTATAGGTAATATCGACTGTGAACTGACAATCGGTACTTTCTCAATTTTGACAACTTTAAAGAATGAAGAAAAAAAGTATTTGCGTCACTTGTATAGCATCTGGTTTATTAAATAAAAATACGTACACTGGCAGAATTGTACTCAGTGGGACAGAAGCCAAAACAAAAAAAATACGTAATCTTTAAATATTTTTATTACACATATATGTATGTAGTACGTATTTTTATATAATAAACCAGATGCTATATAAATGATTTTTTCTTCACCTGCAAAGTTGTCAAAAGTGAGATACTACCGGGTGCCAGTTCACAGTCGATTATGTTAAGCCGTAGATTTGACCCACACCACAATTTGAACGAACGACGACGAACAAACTAATTTGAAGGAACCACGGACTTGTTTATGAAATATATAAATCCGTGGAAGGAACTAACTTTTTTTATGATACTGTGATGGAACAAACACGTCTTGCACTTGATAGTAAGCTATACGCCTGACCATAATACCTACTGCCGTCCGCTAACTAACTAAAAAAGTGACAAAAAAATGTTTTGAGATATCATAAAAACCATAACCCCGTTTTCCGAATATTGAAATTGTTTAACGATATTTCAGCAATAAATAATAAGTAAAATAAAAAAAGGAAAATAATTTATTTCAGACAATGCAGTCCATACAAGTTAGTATAGTATATATAGTACATGACATCTTATATAACTATGTTAGTATTAGGATTAGTAGGTACCCAATTACAAAAATTATTTATTAACAAACAAATTAAAAAGTCTAGGCGAGATTAATCCTCCTTGCCTAACGCCACAGCTCAAAACATACTCATCAGATTGAGCATTTGCCCATTTTACTACCTTCTTTTGATTACTATACCAATGTGAGAAAATATCAACTACTTCAGGTGATATGCCCGCTTTCTTCAATTTTGTCCAGAGCATATTATATGCCACTAGGTCAAAAGCTTTTGAAAGGTCTGAGAAGCAGGCATATACCCCGGTCTCTCTTTTGATATAGTAATCAACAGCATATTTTAGTGACAAAATGGCAGTCTCGGTTGACAAGCCCTCTTTAAAGCCGAATCGTGTAATAGTATTTGGCCACTTACGTGATCATCTCACATCCTATCCAGAACTTTAGCTGTCACTGTCGCTAGTGAGATTGGTCTATAGTTGGATTTATCAGCCGTGTCACCAGTACGGTTCTTAACAAGCGGGATAACTAGTCTTTATCAGATACAGTGTCTTACACAGAAAGTAAATAACAAAGACAAAACTATAGTTATGCTATGCATCGTTAGGGTAAGTTCCGATATGCCGAACAAGTTAACTAATTTTAACTATAACATAATAACGCACACACTCAACATAGCCCCGCACTAGGGAAACCCTGTATCGCGGGTGCCATGGACACACACGTAGACAACCACAAATTACACCCAAACTCACGAGAGAAATAAATGTAAGCCATACAAACATTTCTCCCGGCCCGGGAATCGAACCTGGGACCTCTGTGTGGCAGTCCGGCATGGTAACCGTTCGGCCACTAAGGCAGTCAAACTGTTTTTAAAAGAGAATTTTGTGCTCCATTTTTTGCTATTTGAAACGGTCATTTGACCATTTGTCACTTAGCAGCGTTTTGGTTAGTGGACGGCAGAGTAGTGGCAGAGCCACTCAGAGCTGTAAATCACAAAAATCTGACATGCATTGCCTCTGCACCCGTGACATTGAAATTAATGAATGATGCTGGTGATTTACAGGCACATGGGTGTATGAGTGCCTGTCATTGCACCAGCACCCTTACCCTTCCAAACCGGAACGCAGTAATGCTCACATTACTTCTTGGCGGCAGAAATAGATAATGTGGCAGCACTTCCCTGAACGAACTCTTTCACAAGCTCTACTGCTACTAAAACTTTTTCATTAAATATTTTCTTAAAAGAAATATATATTGAGGCAGGAATTAAATGGCCCGCCCCCGTAGCATGGCTACGCATGATAGTCGCGACGCGCGCGATAAAATTGAAGTAAGTGCGCGCTATTGGCTATCTAAATTAGATCTGATGGAGACAGCCAATAGCGCGCGCTTATTCCAATTTTGTGGCGCGTGTCGCGACTATCATGAGTAGCCATGCTAAACTAAACTAAAACGCTGGCACACTTTTAAGCCTTCAAAGTTGATACTACCTCAGCTCGAATTCAAATTATTCCTGTACTGAATCGTTTCTACTGCGCGGGACGAACGGCGGGAACACTGGATTTATTTTTTTACAAACGAAATTAAGCCATTTAAAAAAATGTATATCGTATAGGTGTTCTATTTAGTTCAGTTGATATAAAAAAAACATTGGTATACGTAAGGTACCTATTGAATAAAGCGATTTTCTTGTAAATTTCGAGGTAAGTTTGTGGTTTTTTTCTATCGTGAACATTTTTAAGAATCGTGTTTTCACATTGTGTAGTAATCAGTGTATATCCTCAATTTGACTACACATTTTTTTCAAAGTGATTGATTCAACACTTTCACCGTTATACGGGATCAACCAAAGCCATTTGAGGTTGTATTGACTCTTAAAGGTCTAATGATGAAGCAGTAATGTGACAACGGGATCTCAGTATAAAAAAAAATTACAAATATTTTAAACGTTTATTTTCCTTTAATTTTATACATGGATTCAATAATGTCACGGGATTTTTTCGATACAAAAACGCATTCCATGTTAGTGAGCAACCGAATTGTACGCAAAACGTAAATAAGCATCAGTAGGCCTAGCACGGCAGAGCGCAACTTGCGCGAGAGTGACATATAAGCGTGGTTACACTCGGCGACTTTTAGCAGCGATGCAAACGCGCGACTGCATCGATACAAACGCGCGACTGCATCGATACAGTCGCTTCTGTTGAATAATTATGTACGAAAAATCTGTACAGGTTTATGCACTAAAGCGCGAGATCTGTGTGAGAATAGCAGTATCTCGCGCTTAATGTCGCTCTCGCGCAAGATGCTGTCGTGCTAGCCCTACTAATAAGGTGCACTAAAGCAGTCTTCCCACACGACATACCATTACTTCCCTGTATGTCTGGCGCACCCTAGGCAACAAGACGAGTACCCTACGCCGATTGGCAAATCCTTTTACCACGATGGCAGGCATTATAGTGCATGCCATCGATATAATAAAAAGAAGAAACCGATTATCCTACCATTGATTACATAATACAATGCAAGAGTTACAATAATAATTTTTTCAGATATTTTTACTCAGGTATTTTTGTAAGTTCATTTATTCTTACGTAAATATTGATATAAAGATCACAGATAAAAAATAAACTAGATCAAATGAAATAGTCAAGAAAATGTTAAGCTTGAGACTTTGGACTTTGGACCCTTCTTATCATACACAGCAGCGTGACATGTTCTTGACCCGAAGGGCTAGCATGATAGGGCGCGACGACTAGCCGAGAGCGACATAAAGCGAGAGATACTGCTAGTCTCGCATAGAGATATCGTGGTTTATGTCACTCTCAAGCAAGTCACGACTTATCATGCTAGCCCTACTAGACTCTCGAACTAACTTGACTTAACCTGACTTCACAATAATCATACCAAAAACACAATTTCTCTACTTGGCTACAATTTCTCTTCTTTACGGTAAAAGAAGAATTTTGTTTAATTGACTGATTTTCATATTCATTATATTAATTATGTGGAGAATTTCAGTATTAAATTTAAATATAAGTCCTCTCCACGTTGCCGCTGGCAGAAATAAAACATCATTACAAAAAACAATTCTATGTACTAAAGTTTTTTATGCGTGTTTTATTCAGTGAAAATTCTTACTTTTTTTATTATTTTCTTAATTTTAAACTGCCTCCGTGACCAGACGGTTACAATATTGGTCTGCGACGCAGAGATCCGGAGTACAATTTCCGGGAGAAATATTTATGTGGCCTACTATGATTTCTCTCGTGAGTTTGGGTGTAATTTGTGGTTTTCTATGTATGTGTCCATGGCACCCGCGATACAGCGTTTCCCTAGAGCGGGGCTATGAGTGTGTTAATTTAAATTAAAAACAATTAAAACCAATACACTGTATCTAATATCAAAGTCAGCATTTTGAAGAAAAGCTGCAAAAAGAATTTCTTTTGTAAAAACATTCTTGTTATGAAATTACATAACACTATAGTGGGACTTGCAGTGTTTTGGTTTGACACAAGTGACCTTGAATATGGGGTCAAGGAGCTGTTTTTTTATAAGAATATAATATTAATTATCATCTACTGTAATAAACACGGTGTTTCCACAATCCCTATAACTGTGGCTTGATATCTTTATTCAAAATCAGAGCTGGGTTCTGCATATCCAATTGACTTTGGGCAATATCACTAAGTGCCCCTTGGATCTTTTCTAGAAGTATTTCTCCTTGACGGACTACCTGCAGGAATATAAACAATTATTAAAAATTTATTTCAAATTTCTTATCTTTTTTTACACCATCATATTGTAGACTAAATTTCTAAACCTCATAAACCCATTTTGAGCAATTAAAGCTTAAAATATAATATTATGTAAGACCACTTTTAGTTATGAGGTATAATCATAGAATGTCGTATAATTATTTTTTAGTAATTCTGATTTTCGTGCCTACTCCAAAATTCACATTATTGGAGTTTAGGAGGTTTACGAATTCAACTGATGTTATGCATCATTACATTTAACATAATAATAATATAGGTTTCCAGTATAATGTAAAATGGTTGTAATAAAATATCAATATATTATATATATATAATAATCAATATTTTTATTAAATTGCTATTTGTAGAATTTAAAAATTTAACCTTTGTTTGAAAGAATAGTAAATAAATATTACATAAGTACGTAAATTGTTTGCTATGTCCACTGTACACAATACCTTAATGTAAAATAGACACCATTCTTACAACCACAACATTAGTGAAATGAGAGCACCTTGTAATGTTGTATAGGTATGTATGTGTTATACATATTTAACTGCCTAAATGGCCGAACGGTTACCGTGCTGATCAGTCACACAGAGGTCCCAATTTCTATTTTCTTCTTTTTTTCTTCTATTTTCAGGCCCAGAGAAATAATTATATGGTCTACAATTATCTCAGAGTTTGGGTGTAATTTGTGGTTGACTGAGTGTGTGTCCATGGCACCCACGACACAGGGTATCCCTATGAGTGTGTAAGTTAAAAAAAAATATATAGGCGTATATATAAGTCTTGACAAGGATCTCGAGTAGTTTCACCAGACAATAACAGTAAAATATTACCTCTTCCAATTTCTCTGCAGCCTCTTTATTTTCAGCCTCCAAACGCCTCAAGCTCTGAACTTGAAGCTCTGTAGAGCTCTCCTCACTCGGTAGAGACTCAATCAATGTGTCAATGTCTTTAGCACATCGTGAAATAAGAGTCGCGAACAAAACTGCATAATCTTCTTGATTTTGCTGCTGTTGTGGCGTTTGAGAGCCACTACGATCGAAACCAAGAAACTTGCTAGGTGTCGAGAATTGTTGCAATATGCCTATGCTATTGCAGAAGTGTTCTGCTTGCTGGACAAAAAGAAAAAATGCTGTAAACTTCGTGTGAATCTTTCGACATAATTTACAACTAAACTTCTTACCGTATTGATTGTGTCTTGTAACTGTGTGAGCCTGTCTGCCATGTTTATAATAGATAATTAATACTGAGCAATCGAAAAAACAGATACATTTGTTTAAACAGAAAATAACACCATACTCACGTAAACTATTTTTTGACAGTGACAAATAAAAATGTAATTGCCATAAAAGATCATTGAATCCTGCAAATTTTGTAACACAGAGAATTTATTACATTATTCTCACAGGACATTGGCGCAATCACCATTTTTTTTGTACAATTTTTATAATAATATTAAACTACCGTACATAGTTATTGTTACTTGACATTGGCAAAATCATTGATTATTTCGATGGAGCCATAACATTTAAAAGAAGAAGAAGAACACAGAGAATTCACTCAATTTGAAGACTAAAATACTGGCCTGGTATCTCTTGCGCTAATTGAAATAGTATTATGAATCATAATTTCGTACTTCTATATCTCAAAAAAATACTCGCATCGATCAAAAATCATCTATTACTTTTAAGAACTATTATTTCCAATTTGGCCAGTTCCGTAATATGGTAACATTATAATTTTTTTTACAATAATCTTATTCAACAAAAGAAAATCATACCATAAATCCTTGTTTTGCTTAAATATTTACTGACGTCTGTTTTTTTTAAGTTGTTTTACTTTGCAGTTTTGTATCACGTACGACTAACACTATACCTAATAAACACTAAAATAAATCACAAATTTTAACAAAGAATTTAAAACGTTCGTTTTTAACGGCAAGCTTATCCCATAAAGGGATTTCTTCCAACTAACTTTTACGATTATTGCGCAAGTAATCGTATTAAAAACTTTAAATTAATGAAAACACCAGTTTTGAATTAGGTATAGTGCTACTTTCACCGTAAAAAATATCCTGTGTTAACCTAGGTGTTAACTACCGTTAACACTTACTCGTAACAATTTTCCTTTTATTTTCGATCTTTGTGATTACTATATAGCAATAACGTAAGATTATAATTTGCGGGCATCTTATTTAGCGTACTTACCAACAATTAATAATAATTTATATATATATACAGAGTGTTTTTTATAATGGGACAGTATGGGGAAATCCGAAACCTTAGAAGATACAAAGAAACTGTCTTAGGGACAATTAAGTATTTTTTGTGAGAACAATTTTTTGGTCACGCCTGAGCCATAAAAATGAACAAAATTGATCAAAATATTTTTAGTGCTAATCGACTCGAATACATCATTTCATTGATCCTTTCATAAATGAAAGGATCAATGAAATGATGTATGTAAGTATGGATGTATGAGACGAAAAAATCGGGATTGCCGAAGTTGGTCTAATTTCATAAAATATATTTCATATAAAATTAATAAAATTGAATAATTTTTTTAAATTAGCATTAATCAAAAAAAAAATAAGGTGGAGACCGTTTAACAGAGTCCGTTTCTTAGAAGTATGATTTCATTGTATGGGCAGAATCGCAGAAATCGGGTCAATAGAAGTTGGTCAAATTTAATAAAATATTTTTTCATACAAAATGAATAAAATTGACTAATTTTTTTTAACACTGATAGACTCAATCTCTTAGAATAATGATTTTATTGTATTGAATGAAAACAGTCAGGACAGCCAGAAGTTGGTCAAATTAATAAAATGTTATTCAAATTAAAATGTAAAATTATAGGTACTAAGCGGAAAACACGATACTGGCGAAAACCTAAAAGGGCACCTGAAATAATTAAAAAAAGAAGAACATTTTCGTGGCCATTGATGACCCCTATGGTCCTTGAGCTTTCCAATGGCATAATTATGTATACCAATCAACACTGCCAACTTTTATGATGCGGACATCTTTAGAACCGCGAAAAAATTATCTTTTCCTAACTTTTTCTCGAGTACCTATAAAAAACCTGTCTATTTGTACATATAAGATTTTATTGCCTCTCCCGATCGGAAACTGCGTCTTTTCCGAGTCGAGGCGCGTAATTGCGATTCACAACTGACCAATCGGAAACTTTTGACATTTCAAATTGGAACAATAGTTGATTTAACTTACAAATTAGAAAGATATAGTAGTAATCAGGTTCGTCTTCTCGCTCAGAAACCCATCTGATTTCGAGACTACCCGGTCGAATCAATTCAGATTTGAATCAAAATGAGCAGGCTGATTTCATATTATGTTATTGGAAGATTCCTAGTTTATATTATTCTTAGATTAATTGTAAAATTAATATGAACAACTTTTGTAGGAAACCCTATTATATATATCTCGCAAACTTTTTACGGTTAACCATGTAAGTATAATAATTGGTTTTATTAAGTCTTGAAGAAACCTGGACTTGGCTTTAGTATATACACAAAACCTCGTAACATTGTGGGTAGGTATAGGAAGGAAAGCGAGACCACTTTTTTGAATTTTAATGTGTTTAGAGACTCCATCCTCTAAGGTTATCACATATGTTGTTGCTATAGGCAGTTCTAATACGACCAGCATCACTTAATATGTTCATTAATGGAGTTCCAGTTATTTAGGCAAGAAACGAAACAAAACTATGCATTAACAGATTATAAGAGCAGAGAGCTAGATATAATATATAGAGAGAGAAAGTGTACTTTAATTGAAAGAAAACTGTTCAGTAACATTTTATTACTTAATCAAGCACAAAAACATAAATAAATAAGTATTCTAAGACTAGAAGTACAATATCACAATTCTTTAATAAATAGTTTGTGTAAGTATTTACAGAAAGTGGTAACTATTTAGAGCTCTTTGCTAACTTAGAAACTATGAGAAACAGAACCGTGACTAGATAGATCTAAGATGATATTTAAGTAAACTTTCGATCAAATTTGTAAGTGAAAAAAAAAAATTTCATCATAGCAAATGAAAATATTTTTTTTATCAGATCTAATCTAAGTAGCGTATATTTGTTTTTTCAAATACACCAACTTTTCGCGACTGACTGACCATGGGCTCAGTAAAGGGCCCGAAACGAAATAGTTTAATTTGCTATGTGTCAAATTTCAACCTAAAAATGAAAATGGAACAAAACCATAGTCAAATTTGAAATCAACTTTATGTCACTTACAATAAAAACAGTTAAATCAAAGTGTGCATATAGCGTTCTAACAACAATGTGAATATACACACTGAAAATAAATATGTGGTATATATCAGAACGCGTGCGCCTTAATACACTGTGCCCTTTTTCGTCGACTTAGCAGGGTCAAATTATAGATATCATTCTTAATTCCAAATAACACTATTTCGGCTCGACATTACTTACTTCGACTAACACATTTATTCGACAAAACACATGTTTGACAGTTCACTATTCCGACAGAATACACAATATTTAATATAAATATTTGCTGTATTGAGAGACCACTTTATTCTTGAGCGGAATATGTCATATACATAAATATGTCTGAGAAATAATTAATAACTAGTCTGAGAAATAATTAATAACTAGTCTGAGAAATAATTAATAATTGCTTAAGCGGTTATTTCTCGATTTCATGTTCCGTCGAACTAAAGACCTGTCGAACGAGTGTTTTGTCGAAGTAGTGTTCTCTCGAATTAATTTGTAGTCGAAGTACTGTCGAGTGGAAATAGTGTTATTCGAAATTAAGAACGACACCCTCAAATTATATACCTTTGAGAATAACATTATCAATGATATTAAAGATTAAACTATTTTTTCGGATTCCAATTTTTTTTAAACAAAGTTTCATTTCAAATATGCAGCAATCTCATCTATGTAATAATATGTATAAAAATCTATGAACTCGTTATCAATAATTTAAAAAATGATACATTACAGTACTTCAGATAGCTTGCGAATACACTAGATAACTTTTTGTGCATGCTTTAGTGCTAATAATGCATTTACATTATTTGATCGAAAGTTTCACTTGAAAGCTTGCGAATACACTAGATAACTTTTTGTGTATGCTTTAGTGCTAATAATGCATTTACATTAATGAGCAAAGCTCTTAAATATGAATAAATATACATAGTGTCGATGAAATAATTTCGCAATTTTCATTGCGAACTTGGGAGGCCACCGAAGTGTGCTACAAAAAATACTTTTCTTACGTCCATATACTAACAATACATTATTTGACTAGATAAAATACTATTAGAAGTATTTGAGAACTACTCAATATAAAGTGTTACAGAAACATTATAAATTATAACTTGCATAGTTATCTCTATGAACTAGACAAAACTTTCTCAAAATTAGTTACTTATAAATAAGTTAAAAGATTACTTATGGGTAACAAAGAAATATCACATGATATGTAAAATCAGAGTGTAAACAATAACTACACAACTCAAGTTAGGACACAGGTAACAGTCTTTTAGGGTGAATTGTGACTTAAAAATGCTTCAAAAGTTTACATTAATTATTGTGTCTTTAATTTAAATATAGCTTATTTTAAATGCAATGTCTTTGATTTTTTTGAATAACTGACTAAAGTGCCAACATAAAAATAACATGTGCCTCTTTACATACGTCTTTACGTCTTACTGGATTATTTTTAAAATGATGTGTAGTCGATATATGAAGATGTTGTGAGTTAACAGTAATAGATCCACTAAACCTCATTATTGAGCTAATACACCTAATTTACCCCGCAACTGAGAATCTGTAGGCAATGCTAACGCCCATTTCCGAAGACCTACCAACATTACTGAACTAAGAACTAAAATGGCACCAAATACAGAGTACATGCTAGGTATCTCGTTGAAAAACATAACCTGCCAAAGAAATGCGAATACTATGTCTGCTGACCTAGCTATAGCCACAGGTCCTGCCTGTTCCATTTGCAAAGACATTGTTAATAAAATCTGTCCCAAATAGCTGAATAATGCCAAACAAACAACCAACCACCTTTCTGTGCCACAATTCGGCATACACAAAACACCAAATGCAAAGGAATATAATAAAGTTTGCAATATGGCTATAGCACCAAAGTTTGTCATTATAACAGAGAAATGCAAGCCTTTTAAGACTCTTAACAACACATAAGCATTAGCTCCGAATATTGTAGAAACAAATGCTGCAACTGCACCTCTTAACTTGTTATAATTATCATTGTGACCAGATGTTACATCATCTCCAAATAAAAGAGGAGGATGGGTAATAAGTACCACACCTACTAGAGTTAAAATTATTGATACTGTGTTCCAAATACCACAAGGTTCCTTTAAAAAAACTCGAGCAAACAATGCAACAAATACAGGTACAGAAAATACTATAACAGAGGCGTCAGCTAAAGGCATATTCCGGAATGCATAAAAACTTAACATTAAACCCACTGTGCCTACTATAGAGCGCAGAACAAGCAGAACTCGTTTGCCTGGAGGGAATACTGGCTGTTCAGTGTAAATAACTACAGGTACAGTGGGCAATAGGACCCCTATGAAACGGAACATGGCTAACTGCATGGGATCTACGTTGACAAGGCTTTTGACGATAACTGAACATAGTGAAAAGAATAAGGACGATAGAGTAGCCAGTATTAAGCCCAAATATGGGCATCTTTTTAACAGAGGTCTCTTGTTTTCCAAAAGGTTAGGTATAGTCTCGTCACCACTTGCCGTGGATAAGTCCACAAGATGCTGCAGCTCTAGGTGCTCCGGCATAGCTCAGGAATAACCTGAAACCACATTCCACTACGTCAAAATTACAATTTTTTGTCATCGAACTTAACTCTTCTTTTTAAGTTCAATCTCGTTTACTCACCTTTCGAGACCACCTATTCTACAAAATATAGATTTAATTTTATTAGTTTTTATGCCTATGTAATTCTATAAATAATCCATGTTTCTACCTCTGTGGAAAAAATAATTTATTTTAATTTTCCACAAACTAGCACAGTGGTCTGTATATCGAGAAATGACAGGTGCGATCTGTTGCACGCAAAATAAAATTCATGCGCAAACTGTTGTAAAAAATAGAAAAAGAGTGCAAAGACCACATAAAAGGAAACGTAAACGATTTTCTATTCACAACCGAAATAAATACAAATTTAAATAAGAAACAAGGCAGTTTTATAACGTGTTTATATACTTAACTCGAAATTGTATTTTACTTTAGAGGCAAAGCACATTTTACGCAGTCCCCTCGTTGTTTGTCATTAATTTATAGATTATTGTTTTTGTTTAGACAATTGTTTATTTTAGACAGTCTAAAAGTTTATAGATTAATGTGATGTGGGGGTAGTACTACAAGCAAAAAGGTGCATTCAAGTCTTAAACAAACATCACTCCGTGGTGTTACCATTACAACATCACTCGCATTACTTAGACTATAAACATCACTCCGTAATATCAACATCACTCATTACATTACGCATCACGCGTACTGTTTCAGGTAATGTATCACGCGGGTGATGTTTCGGGTAATACATCACACACGCGTACTGTTTATAATGATGCATCACGCGTACTGTTACGAGTAATGTTAAGAGCAAACATCACTCCGTGATGTCAACATTACACACTTAGAATAATATTACACATTACATAGCATCATGACGCGTACTGTTTCGTTCGGACAATTGTTGTCTGATTAATGTCATAGAATTTAGACAATTGTTTGTCATTAATTAACATTTTTTTCATAACAGTTACAGATTCATTAAAAACTAATAATAATCAATTTTAATGTAGGTATAGTCATTCTATCAACGAATGTATGTATACCATAGATATACGTCTATTTTAAAACGTCAACTGTGAATTTGATCGCACCCCAATTTCAGGTCGTCACGAAATTTCAGTGATTACGGTAAGAAACCTATCAGACTATTTAAATATTTATTTGTTTTTATAGTGTACAATTCAAATTACGTAGTAAGGCTTCATTTGGTCACATTTGCGAGCGTTTATTCAAAGAGTTAAGTTATATTGTCCTGGTTTTTTATTGTCGGTTTTTTCGGTTTTCGTCACGTAATGATATGGAAAAGCCTGTGATCACATTGAGCTCTTTCTAACCATACAAAATTATGGAGTTATATTTGTTACCGATCAAATGCTATATAATCGACGACCTCCGTTGTCCAGTGTTTTGTGAGTTTTCATGGTTTCGCCATATTTGAGTCCCCGGGTACGATCCCCGGTCGAGTTAATTCAAAAAACTAACTTATCTATATTGTCTCGGGTCTGCATGGGTGTTTGTCGTACTGTCGTTGTTTTCGATTTCCATAACACAAATGCTTAAGTTACTTACTCGGGAATCGGAGGAGAGAAAGACCAAGAGATACAAAGACAGAAATGGAAGTATGTATGTACGAAAAAGAAGGAAAAATAATGTAATCCTACAAGAGATAATAAATTTATATGGAAGCCCTGCATATATTCTGAAAAGAAAAAATATTCAACTAGTGCTGGAAAACAAAAAGCTAAAAAAAATATATTCTGATTTTGACAAAAACGAACGAAGTCTGAGATAACAAAATTATCACCTGAAAGTAAAAAATACCCCAAAAGAAAATATTTCACCTTGACAGCTTTCCTATTATGCCTAGAAAAAAATTAAATTAAGTTAAAAGTTAAATCAGCTTATATTATGAATAAAGAGTCACTAAATATTACTATTTGTTTTTATGTCTTATATTATATAGACTTATATACTATCGATGATTATTTCCTCGCCACGTCGTCGTGGGGTAAAAGGGAAAATATTAACGGTTATTTTTTTATTAAATTAAGTTTTTTTATAATACCAAGTGACGGGACGAACAAGTCGTGCACCTGGTAGTAAGCCACACGCCTACACTTAATACAGATTTGGTGGCACCGCCACTGTGCCGCCACTGCGCCCGTCATCCTGAGGTATAAGTTGACAAGTCTCATGTACTTGTAATTTCATCAGCAAAATTATTTTTTATAAAGTTGGATTAATTTCCTCAACTGTGCCCAAATACCGTCATCGTACCAAAATAGAATATAATTGATACATTTAATGATGTAATTTAGTAAAATTGGTGATACTCTTCATTTAATACCCCTGCTGGAGTAATAAGCCCTGCGTACCACATTGTCTTGAATCCAAGGTCATGAATTGGCCGCAAATGTCAATCTTTCTAGAGTATCTAGAGCTAAAAATTAAAAAAAACAAAAAAGTTGAAATTCTGACTCGCGAGCGGCAACTTTGTTTTTTGTCGAAATATTAACGAAAATAAGATTTGCGGAAGCGGATTGCTCCCTTAAAACAGAAATTTTAATGAATAATGAGCGTTGGCGCGCTATCTAAAATACCCACTGTGGCAGAACACGTTTTAAATTCAGTAGAAAACAGGTTAAAGGACGAGGCTAGTAAGCAACGTAAGTTCCAACGTCTATTTTGTTTAAAAAAGTTAATTTAAGGGGGAACTAAACTTATGTCATTAATAGTTACAGACGAGGAACTGTTATCACTTCATTCTGTCTTTGGTAATGTATTACAACGCGCTCTAGACATACTCGAAAAATATCCAACTTTCGTCGCCTACACGACAGCGAATAAACTACGAGTTTTGATCGAAATCAACGGCGAAAACGACAGTTACTACAGAATATTCCCGAAGATCAATTATTGTCCATGTTTAGCGTTTAAACATTACGTGTTGGAGAAGAAAATCCAAGTTTGCTGTAAACATATTTTAGCGGGTAATTTTTTTGACACTATACTATTATAGTTTAGTTGGCCAACATGATGACCCCTTAACCGTCTTTCGTACCGAACTGTATTGTCAATTTGGTTCCGAGAAAATCAGTGTGGAGAAAGGTGTTAAACAAACTTAACCTTTAACCTGAGGGTCGTAACATTAATTTTGGTACAACTGCGTTATTGCATCATTAGTCAATGACATTTTCAGAAACCTTAGATGTCAATTTCCTCTTTAATTACATTACATACTTTACCTTTACACTTTTCAGATGAATGCATAAGATGACTCTCAGAAGTAAAAGATCGGCTAGGGGTCAGGTATCTTAGGGCTTATCTTATCAACTGCACTATCGGCAAACTTGATGCAGTTCCAGTTTCAAACCGTTTTTCTTTGCAGCTCTCTTCAAATCTTATTTGGAGACTTTTTTGAGAAAACCTTTTGTTTATATTACTATAAAGAATGAAATTAACTAAGTACTTCAAAATTTCACCACTCAAAAAACTTGATCTTGTCCTTTAAGGCCATTGGTGACAAGAACAAGTAAGCTGCAGGTAACAGTGGTCACATCCACCCTTAAGGCGGGACTGCGTCAACTATTGCTGGTAGTATATTGACTTAATATCACTATGATAGTAATCCTGAGCACTGGAGAGCACTGGAGTAGAAAATGCAGTGCTATTCCCTCCAAAATGATAGTGACGGAGTGAAGATATTTGTGTTTTCCATCCGTTACTCTCATCTCTGGACTGTATTCGCACTTTCCATCAGGCGCGGTGCAGTCATTTTGCCGAGTCACAATAAAAAAAAAAATAAAAAAAAAGCACGCTCTGCATACAGGCTGTCTGTGATACCTAGATTAAAAGGATACTTAGATTAAGGTGTTTATTGAATGGACTATGATCAGTAGCAGTAGAAATCCTTATAAAAAAGTTTTACTGCTACTTCGTCCAGGGAAGTACTGCCATCTTATCTATTTGTTCCACCAAGCATAAATGTGAGCATTACTGCATTCCACAGGCACATGTAACTTGTCAACTTATGTCTCAGGCTGATGGGCGCAGCAGGCGTGTCGCTTAACACCAGGCACCAACTTGTTTGTCCCATTGCTTTGTATTATAAAAAAAACTTAAAAGTGGCAAATTAGAGCACCGAGCTTTGTCGCCTCATAATAATTTTATTTAACTTGCATCCCCTAGAGGTTAAGCAATAAAGTTGCAGGCCCCTAATAATAATATAACAGTATCCAATAGAAGTTATTTTATGCAATGGATTTTTCCCTGTTTAACAGCCTTTATTGAATTTTATTTTAAGGCCGCCTTGCCCAAATTCTACACCGAACAACAGAGCATGTAGTAACACAGGAACAACACCTCATGCTCGTACGATCCATGTTTGAGTTGGAGCAAAATGGATAGCGGGACTTCTGACTACTATTTCACAGCATCTATGGATTCTGGACGTACCCTATGTAGCCTGCTGAAGGCTATACAGTTTCAGGAGGCAAGTGTGACACATTGTAAAACTAGGCAGGTTTGTTTTTTGTGTGTGTGTGAAATGTGTGTTTTGGAGTTTGCAATAACACTGATGTTTTGTGTGTGACACAAAATTTTACAATATATTTATGAGACAAGTGGTATTTGTTAAAAGTTCACAAAATTTTGTGAACTTTTAACAAATTGTGCATTTACAATTAAATAAACTGGGGCAGATAAGAAAAGTAGATTGCACAACCCTTGAAAAAGTGGTCCTTACTGCCCTCCGGTGGGCGCTGAAGAGTTCTAGGGGGGGCTGTAGAGGCCTCGGAAGCAATTGGGTGGGCGTAGATGCTGTCCAGAGGGTGCCACCGCATTTGGAAAACTGACTTATCTACGTATATAATTTTAATCCTTGTGACTTTTTGCGTTAATATAAAAATACGCTTTTTCAATTATTTTTTGTTGTGGTGGGCATTGAAATTTTTTTGTTTTGCCTTAAGTGGGTAGAGAGACAAAAAGTTTGGGAACCCATTATTTAAGCCACTAAGCAGTTTTAAAAAGTAACACTATTTAGCAATACTAAAATTAGCATTTACCACAATCGCCACATTTTCAAGATGTAGTGGAGCTATCTAAAACAAGAGTAAATGCTGTGCTATTATTCTCCAGTACTGAATTAGATACTATGTTACTAATCCTTACCCAACCCTATCAATTGGCATCATAAAAATATCGTCATTATCATCATCCAGCCTGATTTCACCCAATGCTGGTGAAGGTATTTACCCGCCATGTCCTATAGTATGGGGATACGTATAATATTCTAGGGAACTATACCACCTGGTCTTACAGAGAATTTCCTGTGCTATAAGGACCACATTATCAAACTAACAAATGAACCTAACTCCAAGTCACACATCCAAAACACTTCATAAAAATATAGTACTTAGCTATCGAGTTCTTGTTTTCGCGATTGAAATGAAACTATTTTTCCGGATTTGAATCGCGTATATTGTTGTTCTTGTAACTTTTTAAATGCCTTTGAATGCAGTATTACTTACTTTAAAAATGAAATAATGTCTCCATTAAACAAAATATTCTACCTAAAATATTTAAGGTATTTCCCTCTATGTCTTATGGCCTTCAGATGCCCTGTTTAATGTTCTAGGGAACCATACCACCTGGTCTTACAGAGAATTTCCTGTGCCATAAAGACCACATCGATAACTCCAATGAACTTTATTTTTAAGTCATTTTCTGTTATTTTTATAAACAGCCATATTTATTTACTAATAATATTATGCTCCCTGAATTTTGTGAAAAAAAATTAAAAAAAAACAAACTTCGAAAAAAACGAATTTAGTGAAAAAAAAAAGAGAACAACAAAATAAAAACAGAACAGGTCCAAAAAGTAAATTGGCATAGCGTTGGAGGTATCGACATCATCGAACTAACAAATGAACCTAACTCCCTTTGACACGTTTAAACTTCATTCCCAATTCAATTGCCAATTCAAACTGCCTCTGTGGCCGAATGATAACCATGCCGGACTGCCACGCAGAGGTCCTAGGTTCGATTTCCGGGCCGAGATAAATATTTGTATGGCCTACATTTATTTCTCTCTTGAGCTTGGGTGTAATTTCTGTTTGTGTGTGTGTCCATGGCACCCGCGACACAGGGTTTCCCTAGTGCGGGCCTATGTTGAGTGTGAGCGTTATTATTATTTATTATCCCAATGGTGGGCCTCGAGGTTGTCAAATTTTCTTCTTTGCGTTTCAGTTGGCAATATTTTGTGCCCTCCCTGAAGGTCTAAAGCTGACCGTGGAGGAGGGCAAGTGTGTGCAGGCCTCGGCTTACATCCCTGCTGATAATTTCACCAACTACCATGTGAGGGACGACATTGATGTCATGTTCAAGGTAACTATCTAAACTAAGCATCCAACCTCCTTCAGGAATCTCAGTGCTTCTATGGACCGAAGCCTTCTTGGTGGTAGTGCTTTGATGCTTTGAAGTAGTTTATTTTAGGTATTCACCACACTTACGGACACGGAATTGCTTTAAGGCGTGACGCGAAACGCGCAACGTTCTTTTCGCTCTTTCACCCCCCTTGTGTATTATTTAATTGTATTTTATTATAATATTTTCTCTAAAATATCATAAGTTGCAATACCCCAAACAGGGTTCATGTACTATCACTGTGATATTTTTAAGATCATTTTGCACACATTGTACATGCAAATAACCTTACCGTGGACTAATAACTCAAGAGGGGTTGGTTACCTATCAGTAGTCCGAAATGACATTTTCCAGAAATAACGTTTGCTCGAATTTTCGTTACCTCTAAAGTAATTATGAGAGGAAAATGTTTTTTTCTTTTAAACCTAACCTAACCGAACCTTAATCGTGTCTTTGCGATAACCATCTAACATATCCTGAAAGAACAACGGTTTCGTTATAATTCGGTTTTCGATGTACTGAAAATTCGAACAAACGTTATTTCGGAAAAAAAAATTCGAGTTTGTGATAGGTTACCCTCAAGAGGACTGCTAATCGCGATACAAGACAGCTTAGTCGGGTATTTAGTACCTATTGGTACACCAGATGTCGCGACGGGTACCAAGTACCTTCTTCTTTTTCATTATTGGCGGTGTCGTTTTAGGTTTTCGCCAGCATCAAGCGTTTCGCTAAGATGGGTATAATGTAAGAAATATAAAAACCATGGCGATCATCGCCAATGACCAGGTGTTTATTCTTAGGTGAACGTATCGATTCCAGTGGCGTCGTCGGTGACGCAGAAAGAAAGTTGTGGGGTACTTTGTTAGAGAGAGATTTTTGTAACAGTTTATAGTGATAAGCTGCAATTGATCAAAGCTACTCTAATTTATAGTGATAACAAACAAATCAATCAGATGGCGCTTACTGCAAAGATTTTTATAAATAGTGTCGGTTATTCTTTTATTTCGATTAGGATTAGCGCCATCTACCCATATTAGAAAGCATTAATTTATAAATTAGTTTGTAACACACAATGCCATCTATTGACACGCATATTTGTCAAAATTCAGAACGTAATTTTAGATCATACCAATAATTGAATAATATTAGAAAGAAATAAACTGACTTCTTATATTTCATATTAAAGAGGAATTAGTTAATATAACTACTTTCAGGCTATTGATCAACGCCATCTAGATATAAGACGGAATTTTGACCTTTTTCAGAGTTACGAATAGTTACAATCGGAAGTATGGACATTAGCAGTCTTTTTGACTTATTGGTCCATGGCCTTACTAATGGTTAGTTGTATGTGAATTGCGCATCATAGCATTTTTATAGTAAATTAGTCTGTTACATAAGTGTTGTGGACTGTGATAGCCTGATGATGAAGATAGTATTGTACATTTCAGATAAGTATAGCAGTACTAGCAGAGACTCTCAATATTTTTGGCTCTGGAGAAGAGTCCAGCTTGAAAATGTACTACAGATGTGAGGGGTCACCATTGCTACTTGTGTAAGAATTGTATTTTCACTTCACTAGCTCTGAAAGGCTCACTTTCTCATTAGAAATCTGCGCTTAAAAGCGGCTTTTGCACGCTAGCGTGGAAAAGGTTTTTGAAATTCGAACTTGACGATGGACTGGTACACCTAAATTTTCTTTCGATGAAAAAAAATATAATGACAGCGAGTTGTCTTACATTACTTATTTATGTAATATAAATTCGTTGACTGGTTTATTTTATCCTTATTATTGAGAACATTAATTTGACAATGATAACTATATGTGTTTATTAAATTATTTTATTTCGTCGAAGAACTAAAATAATTTCAATAATCACTTAATCACACAAAATAAAAGTACAAGCAAGAACGATGAGGTGTAAATTCAGAACGCATCCGAAGATAAACTCTTTATTTTAATTAAAAAAACTGATGTTTTATAGTTCAACTGTTTTTCGTTCATCTACCATTTTCCTCGCTATAGTGAGGTGAAAAGTTGTATGTTTCGCTCGGCAGCAAATTTGTTTTGCGTCTCGTGGCTTGAAGCCCTCGCTACGCTCAGGAATCTATTTTTGAACCACGAGCGAAGCGAAGGAGTTATGTCGTTTTGTTTCTGAGTGAGTGTAGTTGTTTGGTTGAGTAATGTTTTGTGTGGGTCTTATGTTGGTTAGCATATGGTTGGTTTTTGTGTGAAGGGGTTTTGGTGGTGAGGGTTATCTATCAGTAGTCCGAAATGTCATTTTCCAGAAGTAACGTTTGGTCGAAATTTCATAACCTCGAAAGTAATATTGAGAGGAAAATGTTTTTTCTTTTAAATCTAATTTAACCTTACCGAACGTAATCACGTCTTTGCGATAAACCTTCAACATATCCTGAAAGAACAACTGTTTCGTTATAATTCGGTTTTCGGTGTAATGAAAATTCGAACAAACGTTATTTCGGACAAAAAATTTTCGAGTTTGTGGTAGGTTACCGGTGGTGAGTTGTGACGTTTTGGTGGGGGTTGCGGGGAGCCAGGTGACGTTGGTTTGGTGTATTGTTTTTTGCGGTGCGGCTGTTTGCGATGAGCTGTGGGGTCAATGATGGGTGCACGTGCGGCGACGTGGGGCTGGGTCTGGCGCGCAGTTCGGCGGTCAACGACCTCTTCTTTGTGTTTGTTGGATGTGTGTGCAGCAGATGTGCGAGTTTGTATGGGGTTATAATAAGGATTGAATTGGTTGGAATATTTATTTAGTTTATAATTGAAAGCGAATAGAGGTGGGCGCTCGCTGTCTCCGCAGTACTTGTGAGTCTAATTCAGTTATCACTCACTTTTTTTAACTCCTTTTCTTGTCGTGCAGTGCAGTTGTGGAATAAACTCCCTTCCCACATCCAGGCGAGCCCGTCGATTGCTTCTTTCAAGAAAAGTTTGAAAGCGCACTTTCTTGCAGAACTTTCTTCGTAATCATCTTATTGTTTCTTAATTATTATTATTTTTTTATTATTATATATTTATATATATCTATATATATTATGATGATGCTATTTATTATACGTTATTTATTGTATTTATTTATAATACTTATGTGTGTATCGGTATTTATACAAATTTTTTCGATAGTTTATAGTATTTCACCCTCTCTATCTTGCACGCTGTTGCCCGCTTACAACTTACGCTCTCACCATCATAGGTTGACTGGAAGAGATCTCTTTTAGAGATAAGTCCACCTTTGCTCACTTTTGTTCACAGATTTTTTCTTGTTGTTTGTTTTTTTGGTGCAATAAAGAATATATATCATTGTGGGCAATAAAATGAATACATACACTCTTCCCACCGGTGATGATGAAGGAATAATTATGAAGCAGCTGCAATCGGGTAGGAGATGGACGATCATGCTGATATGAAAACTCCATTATTGGCCGACAATGATGATGATGATGAAGACATCATAATATACGAGAAAAAAACCACGACACGCAAGCTCTGAGGCGTCGAGTTCTTTATCCTGTGGATATACTATTATATGATTCGAATGTGACATCATTATCAACATCTGTATTGATTGAAGAAGAAGCCGCAAGATCCAGGTCCGGGCGTGAGCGAGTGTGGAGTAAGGGATATGAGGGATATTGCAACGGAGAATAAAAATGTTCCTGCCTTTCGTGCTGATGGTGATGGTGCTGAAGCTGATGATAATGTGATGATGTTGTGTGAATTTCCCTTGTTTAGCACTGAGGTAAAAAGGTTGACAACTTTTAGAGACTGGCCAACGTGTCTACGACAAAAGCCTTACCAATTGGCGAAAGCTGGTTTCTTCTATACTGGCGGTGGTGATAAAACCATATGTTATTGTTGCGGGGTTACGCTGAAGTACTGGCAGGATGAAGATGAACCTTGGAAGAAGCATGACCGTTGGATAAATAAATGTGATCAAATATGACATGTTATAAACTATTTAAAGAAAAAAAGATAAAAAAAATATGATATTTTTTGTAGGTTATGTTGAGGGATGTTTGCAAGTTTTACACTATTAAGGGGAAAAAAATAAAAATGAAAAACAAAAGTTGTTTTATTTTATAATGATTCCAAGCTAATGTACCGCATGTGAAGGAGGTTATAGATTCCATTAATTATATGAATCAATGGTACATCTACCCCCCATAACAACTCACTGCTCTCTAGAATAGTCAACCATTCATTTTTGTTTTTTGTTGTGCGGACATGTGTGAAACTGTTTAATTGTTCGTGCCGCTACATTATATTGGAAAAAAAAACGTTTTATGGTAATTTCATAAACTTTACGACGAATGTCTTCCCGCGTGTTCCAATGTTCACCATGTAAACACCACCAGTTTGCAGATACTTTAATAAATCCTCGTTTATATTATAAAATCTCGATGGTAATGTCACAACTTATCCATTTTCTAAATGCACCACAGTCTGCATTGCGTCGTAGCGATATTTCGACGAAATACGTCTAATCTCCACAATTTTATATGTTTTATCCACTTCGAAATCAACCATTTTCACTCACGTTCTATTTCCACATTCATTAAGTTTGGATATTGCGTTTTGGTTTGATGATGAAGCTATATTTTTAAATGCATGCAAAATTCTCAAAAGTAATAAATAATACACTTACAAAGTAAGTTTATTGTATACAACTTCAATGCAGGCACTGTTATTTTGTAACTGAGAGATTTTAATTTTTTCCAACTGATTGTAAGCCCAATATATTATACACTTTCTACTATTAGTTTATAATTCATACATTTCTCATTTAATATAAGAGGTGTAGTGGAAATCATTTTAATCGTAGTCTCCTCAATCGATGGTGTTACTGATGATGATTTTTTAAATATAAGTACGCATATGACCTCCATTTCACCTGATGGAAAGTGACAATGAGGTCGACGATGGAGCATACACACCTAAGCAATGCCTACTTACTCTCGCCTTGCAGGCAGGGAATTCCACTCCATAGCCGTTCGCCATATAAACGTGGAAGCACAACGCACTAATAAAAGCAGAAAGTTTTCTTGATCTTCATTAAAAACTAACTGGCTATTGTACGGCTTGTTATTAGAGCTTGTGTGCAAGTTGGGATCCGATAGCGATACGGTTCTTTCTTTAAAATCTGTGTAGAAAATGAAACGTGGCTGCTTTTGGTGTCACACTGGCCGTCTTCGCTCCGCTATTCCGCCGCGAACTACGCTTGGGAATGCTGTGTGGCACGCCCCGATACGCATTCGCTTCCCACAGGTTCGCCCCCGAACCGCTTTTCCCGCTGCACCGCCTCGGCCTGAGCTTAAATGGGGTTAGCAGCATTCCTCAATAATGCCACAGTACGTTGCGAACCGTATCGAGCAGCACCGCATTCTGCATTTGTGCTGGAAACTACTAGCAAATGCCCCAAGATGTCAACGGAGCTGGCTTGCTTATTATTATGATAATTTAGTGTCGGTATTAACTTGTTAATTGTATATAGTTATTATAAGTCCGAAATAAATGATATGAATTCGAATTTCAACGTTATCTCATGTTCCATTATCAAGAAAGCTCATACCGCGATAAAAGTCATGCCATGATAAAAAACTTGTGATTAATGACAATAGTATACTTCTATTTGAATTATTTCCATTTAATTGACCTCTATTATAATTGACATTTTCTGCCATGCGCATCAGTTTTCATTGATATAAGTCCTTAACTCTATTACAGCCTCCAACCCCAATCGTTCAACAACATAATGACGGACTGCGAGATATCAACTCAAACAGCCGATTCAGTGCTGGAACTTCGCGACGAGAACGCCACAGAAGTAGCCAAACTCGTGTTGAAGGCGCCTGCGTTTCTGGGCTTACTGGCTGATATTGAAAGATCGTGTGACATTATTGAACTAAATCTGTCACCAGATTATCCAAATGTGAGAATTGTCACCTACGGGATGCAGGTAAATATGTTATTTCTCGCCTGTCGTCTGAATAACGTGGATGAATTTCGTCTCTTATACTAGCGTGAATGAGGTCGAGTTTATGTTTGACTAATCCAGTAAAAAGTCGTCATTTATTAGCTAAATTTATTCAGTATTTTTGACCTAAACAGGAAGATCTTGATTGAAAAATGGTGCCGTTAAGGGTCAGTAAAACTTTAAAACAGCGAACAATTAAATCTACTTTGTTACGGCTAGAACAGACTCAAAGTCAAAGATTATTTATTCCATAGATAAAATAAATTTACACTTGAAAACGTCACATTTACATTTCATTAATCTACTGCTCGTTCACTACGCTGACTTCCCTGAGAAGAACGAGCAAGAAATTCTAGGGATTGCTCTTTTCAAATAAACTTAAATGCTATGCTTAAAAACTGTAATGCTAAATATAATTTAATGCACTTTGAATCAAATTTGTGTGGATTCTGGAGTCGTGTCGTCTTTCCATACATCTTTATCTAACACGTAGTCTACAATTTTGTAATATGACTTTTCGATTAAAATATTTTTAATGTAGTTTTTAAACTTAGGAAATAATAAACTTAATATATGCTCCGGAATCTTATTATAAAAACGTATACAGTTCCCCATAAAAGAGTCGTTTACCTTGGTTAAACGAAATCGTGGTACCATGAGTTTAGACTTAGGTCTAAGGTTAATATTATGGATATCTTCTTTCTTATTGAAATTATGTATATTTATATTAATTTATATTTGACTAAATCAAGACTTTTAGTGCAATCAGATCCAAGCTAGGAATCATGGTTCTCGAGATTGAGAAATGGTGCCGCTGATATAAGCTTATTTCAGTGTGGTCAGTAAAATACCCTTTTCAATAGCTGACCGGCTGAATCTGATGGATGACGCAAGCAAATTTTTAAGTCTTTGAATGCAGTATCACTTACTTTTAAAAATAAATTAATGCCTCCATGAAAGAAAATATCCTATCTACAATATTTAAAGTACTTTCCCTCCGTGTCTCATAACCGTAGGACGCCCTTTAGAGAATAGTAGATTTCGTATGTAACAGCTGTTGCTGTATGTGTTCCTATAACAAATGTTGCTCGTGCTGATGAGCAGAAACATCAAACATCATGAAAAAAAATCTCACCTGTATAATCTTGTAATTTTCATACTTCAGGACCGATCTTGCATCGATGTGCCGAAGACATCAGAAATGGTGCAAGGTTTCAGCTGCGAGAACTCCATTACTATCAAGTACCAGTTACCGCATATCAGGCTTATTATGAAGGCGCTCGCGGTTTCTACCAAGGTTTGTTATCAACGTTTATTCATCTTACAGTACAGACAGGTCTCTTCAAAGAACAGGGTCTAAAACATAGTGCACATAACTATAGTAGTAATACATAACAGCGCGGCAAATAAATATTAGTATCGCCTTCATTTATTTCTCTTATGAGTTTGCATCTAATTTGTGGTTGTCTATTGCGTGTCTATGGCATCCGCGATAAAGGGTTTCCCTAGTGCGGAACTATGAGTGTGTACGTTATTATTATTATTAAATAGCACGAAATTTGATGAATAGTTTCATTTTCTTCAAATTTGTTTACAACCTATAGGTACAAATAAAATAATAATGTGACAACCCTACGCTCCGAGCGAAGTGAAGGCATTAAAGGCACCAAATAGGTGGCAGTTACACTTCTTGTCTTATTATACTATGACATAACGGTGGCTCACGTTAGTGGGGGCTTTATACATACAAATTCACAGATGGTTTTAGTTCCTTAGTCTTCAGAGAAAAGTTGGCTCTCAGAGGAACTTTTCGAATTGGTGCCACTGTTACGTTTCCATCATGGCACCTGCCGCCAAAGGATCATCCCCGTATCCTTGCATTGTAAATTTTTAAATCATAAAACAGAGCTCAAAAGGGCTCTCAAAGGCTGGCAACGCATAGGCAGCTCCTCTGATGCTGCAGATATCCATGGGCAACGATGACTGTTTTCATCACTATGTTTTCTTTCATTTTAAAATCAAATGATAATATAATTTATTTTCAGGTGGTGCTTAGATGTAGTTCCAATGGACTTTTGCTTCTTCAATTAAAACTAGAAAAAGAAGAACAGCGACAGATGTTCTCAGAATTTTACATAGTGCCTTTGTTGGACGACTTTTAGTAGTTGACAGTGCCCACAGGCCAAGTTCTCGAAGCACTGACTTGGTTTGTGATATATTTTTATCATGGAGCCCATACCAAATAACCGATGTATTTGATCCCACATATTTGAGTAAATGTTTTGAAATTTGCATCAACGTTTTAAAACTTTTTTAATTCTGCGTTACACGGATTTTTTTACCATCATCATCATCAACTCATACTACCCACTACTAGGCACTGGTCTCCTTTTAGGCGAGGGTTTCAGCCATAGTGCGCCACGCTAACCTAATGCGGGCTGAGGACTACACATTTTCCAAAGTTTATCGACTCGAACCCACGGCCTCAGTTGAGAGGTCGTAGGTCAAACCATTAGGCGACTACGGTTTCTCTTTTTTACCGTTTTACCATTTGCCCTTTATAATTAGAATCGACATGCCTGGTACACTACCATGCCTAGATTCTTGAATACACTAGGAAGATACTTTTTAGTAAGTAAAAGCTGTTAAATTAAAATGCATTCCCATATACAATAGTTTCATTTTGAAATAATCTAGTTTCTTCTTTAAGTTGGTCTTAGATTCGGCGTTACAGAAACAAAACATATTAATTTTAACTTTTCGTCATTTGACTTTTATAATTAGAAACCACAACTTGCCTGGCACACTGCCATGTCTAGATTATAGTGAACTTTGTAAGTGAAGGCTGTGAAAATAAAATACATTCGATACAAAATTATACATTTAATTTACATTTGAAAACGTACATTACATCAAAGGAATGTCGCCATATTATCCCTTGCTTCTATGAAATTCACGTGTTTTTTTTTTGCGTTGATTATTTGTTTAAATCATCGAGCAATAACTGGACTGCTAATCGCGATACAAGACAGTGTAGTCGGGTATTTAGTACCTACCTGGTACACCAGATGTCGCATCGAGTACCAAATATTAGTCTTTTTTTGTAACTAATTTGTTTATGAAAGCTATTCTAATTTGTAATGATAGTATGCACTAGACTAGATGGCGCTTATTGCACGAATTTTTATGGTTAGTGCCGGTTTTTCTTTTTTTTTTGTCTAGGATTGGCTCCATCTAACCATGTTTAGTTTGTAGCACGTAATGTCTTCTATTGACAGGTTTATTTGTCAAAGTTAATAAAATAATGTCAATATTTGAGTAACGTTACAAAAAAAGGAATTGAATTATATTTCACATTAAAGAGAAATGAATTGATAATTATCCACGGCCATTTACATAATGTAAACCACTTTCAGGCTATTGAGCGGCGCCATTTATATATAAGACGGAATTTTGACCTTTTTCGGTGTTACGATCTTAACGTATGTAATGTATGGCAACCTATCACAAACTCGGATTTTTTCCGAAATAACGTTTGTTCGAATTTTCATTACACCGAAAACCGAATTACAACGAAACGGTTGTTCTTTCAGGAAATGTTGGATGTTTATCGCAAAGACACGATTAGGTTCGGTTTAAAAGAAAAAACATTTTCCTCTCAAAATTATTTTCGAGGTTATGAAAATTCGAGCAAACGTTATTTCTAGAAAATGTCATTTCGAACTGGAACGTGGAGTATAGCAGTCCTCTTACAGTTATTGTTCCATGATTTACATGATTACAAGTCGCGGTTAAACATTCTTAAACGTTTTTGTTTATAATTTAAATATTTAAAAAAATTAGCTCTTACACCAATTTATTTGTCTGAATTGTCTCCACTTGACAGCACACAGTATGTGGTTTACTATTCCCATCATTTAATAATCATTTTGCTTCATCTATACCTAGCGCTACTACTTTTGTCAATTCCAATATCAATCTTCTTTCAATATTATAAAGCACATATGTATTTAATTCACCTGTCGATCTTCGTAAATATTCAAGACAAAACAGCTAAGGCAACTTGATATTTGTATTGAAATATTTACGTCTAAAAGTTACTTAACAAACTTATCTGTGACACCGTCCAACATTAATAGACGTAAATTGCAATTTGACGGAAATGGAATGTTTACAAAAAAAATGGAAGTAAATGAATTTGCCACTCCGCGAATCTAGTGAAGGTTAAATCGTGCAATATAGCTGCGCTTGTGTTAAATTTCTTTTTGTATATTTTTTCATGCAGTAAATTAAGTGCTTGAAAAAATGTTCAACACAAACGTAGTTATTTTGTACGGATTTATTAATTGGATTGTTTACGTCCGATTAACATCTGATTGGCAAGTTAACGCCCATTTATGCTAAAAGGCTATTTGTAAAATAACTAAACTTATAAGTTGATTAAATATCATGATATTTTACGATCATGATATTCAATTATTTTTGTGAAATTACTGAACTAGTTTGGTTATAATTATTAATACACTTCCGGACACATAATTCGAGCCACCACGCATGTTCAGTATTAAGTGCCATAAGCTTAAACAATGTTTGATTGATCAAAAAGTATTACGTAAATTTGAAACTAGTATACTGAACGTCTTTTCCATAAGTCCTTGTTGGGAATTTGGATTTGCAAAACCGGGGGAAAATCTTCGATGACAACACATTTTTGTATTCTAGCCCTTCACGACAAAAATGCGAGGTGGCTCGAATTATGTGTCCGTAGTATATAAGGATAGAACACAAAGAAAAATACCTTCGAACTGGACATGAACCAGCAACCACGCCATACCGTGGTTGACGCTCTCCCAACTGAGCTACGAAACGAACTAGCAGATCCACTGACTTACAATTATTTGGACGTCGGGTCCGCGCTAAAAAGGGTCCGAACTTATAGCGTGTTAAAATCGTATACAGAGCGTCATTCACGCTTTAGTCTTCGTTTGTTCGACTGACAACGAAGCAAGCAAAATAAGACAGTACTGCGATGACATTACAATTTAAATTCAACGTTTTAGCTTTTTCATATTCCTTTACATGTCACTACGTTTAAATAGGTTGACTTGGGACATTTTTTGCGTGGTTTTTGTATTAGACCCGTCGTCCATTTATTTGTAAGTCAATGAGCAGACCTTACGATTTTTTGAATGTGCTTGTTGCAAATCTTTGTTTTTGGTTTTAACGAGATTTTTGCCAATCTGTGGGAAATCCATGAAAGTTTTTCTTCACTCAGCCAGTCCAGCCGGATCGAAGGAATTTTTCTTTGTGTTCGATCTATGTATTAATAAAATTAAAGCCGACATGATCACAACGTCAAATTAACTAGCGGTTTTTTCAGCAATTGTTTAGTAACTACCGACACGACTTTGTCACAGTTAAGTTTGTAGTTTTTGTCGTAAATTTAATAGTGAAAGCGTTTGTATTGACTTATGAAAGCAATGATGTTATTGCTACGAGCTATAACGACAGGGTCCCAATGATATTGGCAGAGACGACGGACCTCCAGTCGCTGTTTCTGACATACATTTCTCGCTTCAGTCGCATCAGTCTTTTCATTCACTCTTTTTATTTATGGCACTTGACCTAAACAGGAAGATCATCTCGATCTAGTTTGGGTATGTTGTTGTTGACTTTCTCTTTCTAGTCGCAAATGCATCCGTTACTCCAGGTGACCAGGTCGAATTTTTGATTTTTTTTAGTCAAGTCTACATTCTAAATCAGTCAGCTCTAAAATTTTACGACTAGAACCGACTAATTCAGGACTTGTTCTGGGTGCAACCAGATCTAAGCTAGGTGCTGTGGTTCTCGAGATTGAAAAATGGTGCCGCCGGAATAAGCATGTTCCAGCATGGCCAGTAAAACAAACTTTAAAACAGAAAGAATAAATCTACTTTTTACGACAATAAGCGACTAAATCACGACTTTTTTAGTGCAAACAGATCTAAACTAGGTGGCGTGGTTCTCGAGATTCAGGAATGGTGCCGCTGGAATAAACTTATTCTAGTAAATAACTTATGAAACGAACCGACTAAATCTGGTTTCTTGCGACTAGATGGCGTCTTTTTACCGGACTAGTAAAATTTTAAAAACTCGAGCACGTTTACGCTGGACTAAGAGACGCGTCGCAATTATAAAACAAAATTAATTAAAAAAGTCAGGCTCCAAATGTTGCAATACCTAGTCATTATTGAAAATGTGAAATTTCTCACATCCTGCGATGGATTAAGTTGATTTAGATGGTAGAGATACATATGAATCAAATAAAAATGAACTGTTTTAATTTGGGTCAATCTTCTTGAGCGGCGATAAAAAAAGGTATCATATCGCCGCTCAAGAAGAGTGACCCAAATCAAAACAGTTCATTTTTTGATTTAATAAAATAATATTAAGAATAAGCTAAATTGCATTGTGAATAAATGTTTTCTATTGGTCTACAGCATAGTTTCCTAAAGTGGTCCGTACCGCCCCCCAGAGGGTGCTGAAGTGTTTTAGAGTGGGGGCGGTGGGCGTTGATGCTGTCCAGGAGGTGCTACCGCATTTGAAAAAAAAACCTAAATTATCTATGTATATGAACTAGTGTATAATGTAGTGACATTATATATATCATATTTTATCATTGTGACTTTTTGTGTTAATATAAAAAAATACGTGTTTTCGATTATTTTTTGTGGTGGTTTTGGATAATTTTTTTTATCTTGACTAAGGGGTGGTCAGCCAATCAGTTTCGAAATCTGGTCTACAGCGCCGGCGTTAGCCTATGTAGCGCCCGGCTGCAATCAATGGCCCTGGTGCTCTAGTAGACACGCGATCAAAATTGAAGACTTAAGTTATATTTTTTCCACTGACCGGAAATTCAATTTTTTTTACGGTCTTATTCGCGTATTTTTGTTTTATTTATTTTTTCAAATAAACCAACGTTTCGGGCTCGTGGTCACGGCAGACTGAGATGGTGAAGTCATCAATATGTTATTAATGCAAACCACTCTGTTTTTCACTATAGTTACAAAAGTTGTTAATTAAAGTAAATGTCGAGGACATCTTTCTAATGACTAGTGTTGCAACGAATAGTATATTCGGCCTCTGGTCGAAAACCGAATCTTTGCTTCGGGGTCGAGTTTGGCCGAATAGAATATTCGATCTGATTAACGATTAACTCATATACAAAAATTGACACGAAAAATACCACTTATTAATTTCGATTATGTATTTTAAATAATTTTGTACAATGAGGCTAAAAAGTACTTTAATTTTCAATTTTATTATTTGTTTAAAGCTTATGACTTAAAGAAGAAAGTAATTGTTTAGGTAAGTATTTAATTTCAGTTTGACTAAACCTAAACCTTGATTTTATTTTGGTTTGCAAATAATAAGTACTAGGGTGATTTTATGAAAGTTTATTTAGTCATGAATAATCTACATAGAAAGCAGGTAGTTTTTTTTTTCATGTTACTTTTTAATTTTTTGGAAAAATCACTCACATTTCCTTTAATCTTTTAGGTGAAAAGCGAAAAATTGCGCTTTCGCGAACTATTTACGTGTATATTCAGCATAATAAAATTCATAATAATTATCTGTGATTTTCTTATTTCTTCCTCTTGTTTTTAGGTATTCAGTAGGCCGAATAAAATAGAATATTAGTTGCAACTCTAGAAATTATTTATTTGAGCGGATAGCAATGGCGGAGGGCTTTATTGACCCGATTTTTAGGTGTGGTGTAACGAGCTGGTGTACTCGGACTTTAGGCTCCTATTTTGCGTATCAGGGTCC